CATGGAGGAAACTAAGTAAGGGTCCATATTAGACGAAGGCCTTCGATCTTCAAAATACCCTTTCCCTTCTTTCTCCGTATCTCTTCCTACTCTCACCGATGCTCCACGATTCGCCACTCCCTACACTCAGAGGGATAAAAGTTACATAAAAGATAGATAATAAACCAAAACGTTACTATATATGATTTGGTTTCATGTATACCCAAGAGAAAGTGTTGATGTCTGCAGTTTCATGCTTCCCAGTGAGACGCCTCTCGTTGCCTTCACCATAAGCCGCAATGTGTTGTTTGTGTTTCACTTCAAGCTTCTTTATTGCTTCCTTAATCAAATCCAGTCCTCCATCTTTCCTCATCGATTTTGTACTGAAGTTCGTATGAGCTGCTGCTCCATTCCAATCACCCTAATTAATTAATCCACCATAGATAACAACCTCAACAAAAATAACATTCAAGAAAAATCTCAAGTTATAGCTACAAACATAAAAAAGAGTCTTGATCATCACAAGAAACCTGGATTGGTTTTGGATCGAATGAGACAATCACACCGCATATCTCAGTGATCCTCTGTCAAATACACAATGGAAATGAGATAGGACATAGAGTAATATACAAGAGACATAGGCCAATCTACGGGTTTCTTACCTCAAGAATGTAACGAGCAACCCATAATTGATCACCGGCACCAATACCAACAGTAGGACTGATTTGAAACTCCCATTGTCCAGGCATGACTTCACCATTGGCACCACCAATACTCAAACCGGAGTAAAGACAAGCTTTATAGTGAGCATCGACAATGTCACGACCAAAGGCTTTGTCTGCACCAACTGCACAATAGTACGGTCCCTATTTTTTCAAACAAAAAGCAATATTCAATATCAGAACCTTGTTCTTAATTTAAGAGTTAAGTGTATGAGTTTTGATGGAGAATATATACTCATAAGTGTACCTGAGGACCAGGAAAGCCACCAAGAGGCCAACCTAGTGGCCACTTCACGTCTTTTTTAAGTAATGTGTATTCTTGCTCTATCCCAAACCTAATATATAACACATCAAACTATCAAACTGAGTCCTAGACTGAATCAACCAAACTGAAATCTATTCCTAAACAATGCTTTGTTACTTGTTAGACAACTTTTTAACATATTTTAAACAATGCATATGTTACAAATACATGTTTTGAATTAATCAAACTATGGTATTTTATGTCCTACACCAGACCAATGATGAAGTCATGCCTGGACAATGGTAGTTCATTGGCTTTTTTCTTTAGGCTATGTAATTAGCTTACCAAGGCTCTTCAGCCTTCACATTGGGATGATCAAAGATTTTGACGGCCTTGTTCCTATTGTTGGTCGGAATTGGATCTCCGGCCGGTGTGTAAGCATCACACATCACCTGATTTATTATATTAAAGAACAATGATTTTAAAGATTCACTAATCAAGAAAACAGATTAATGTTTTGCTAAAAATTAATATGAGCTAACCAGAATGTTGTTCCCCTTCCTGAAAGGGTCCTTGAATATTGCCTGAGGACTTTTTATTTTCATTCATTCCAAAAATGAAATTATTTAAAAGAAACTTTTGATATCAATTTCCTAAAATATTGTGAATAAGTGATGAAGAAGATTACTATAGAATGACTTCACTGTCATCTCCAGCGGCTTGATCGGTGCTAGATCCATCGTAGTTCCATTTTGGAAGCTTTGTTGGATCACTTACTGGTCCTGGTAATGTCTGTTTAACAAAGAAAATTTCAATTTTTTGTTTGGTTATTATTATACAAACAAAAAAAAAAGAGAAATTAATGTGATATTATTATTACCCTGGCTTTGCTTCTAATATCCATTCCAGAGCCACCGATCCTGTTCTCATGGAAAAACAGAGCAAAAACAGTACCAACAATGTTGTTTAAAGAGACATGCAAGATCACAAGTGTGTAAAATCAAGAAACTATATGACATGCATCGAATTTTAGACAAACTCTTCTAAAAATCATTGCAGAGAGATGATTAGGGATCGAACCATATGTATTCAGCGATGATTTTCTTGGTGTCTGAGAGATCAAGGTTTAGGAGTTCTGAGAGTGGAGACGTCATTTCTGTTTCAAAAGAGAAAGAAGACGATTCTGAGATTGGTTCTCTTGATCTCACTCACTCTCACTATTTTTATAGAATCGGCTAATTCTCTTGAGATCCTATTTTATTGTTTTCCCAAGAATAATCGTTGATCAGTTATAGTATAATGGCATCCTTTTTTTAAGTATCCTCCATTAATAAACATCACATATTGAAACCATTTTCCATATTATTTGAGAATCAATCACTCAACGGTGTAACATTTTCATCAATGGAAGTATGAAACAATACAGACACGTCACACTGTAAAAGACACCTATCAGAGGCACAGATCATCCACGTGGATAAGCTTTCAACTTCTCTTTTGTTGCATACAAAAGATCCAAAACACAAGCTGAGACCAAAGCCATCTATGGTTGTGACTTGTGTACTTATGTTTTGATTTCAAACATTAATACTTTTTTATAAGGGTCACAAATGTCTCCAATAAGATCTCATCAAGTATTGAAGTTAAGTAGGATCGTGCTATAACATTTCCAGCCAATTTCATATCTCAAGATCAACAAACTCTCAAAGTGACTAAATACAACAACTCATTACTCCTGAAATGAACACAGAAACAAAACAAAAACGATGCGATTTGGCTACATTCTAACAATCACTAAACACTGAGATTTTAGTAGTTTTCTCCTACAGGTCTAGAAGGAAAGAGGCGCATAAGGAAAGTGATAAACGACCAGAGACACATAACAGCTAGAAACTGCAAAGTCACAACCAAACCAACTAGTGCAACTCCTCGCTCTGTAATTTCTGCAGTTGTTGCCGCATCTTTCATCATAAACATCAGCCTCTGAACAAATGTCGCTGCTCTTGTCACCTGATACAGCCTATACACCTGCCATTACATACACAAACCATAGTTACTCTAAACAAGACTACAACATCATGGACCACAAGCAGATGGGCAGACAAACTTAAGACCAAAATGGTCAAAATCAGTATATAAGTTTACCTCAAAGACTATTGGAACAATGGGCCAACAAGATGAGCCGCGTCTTTCAAGCCGAGCCTCGAAAACTCGTTGAACCGCACAGCCAACTAAGAAGGGAAGCACTGCAATCAACGCATCTATTCCAAGAGCTGGCCAAGTCATGTATACAGCAAATACGGGAACTACAACTTTCAAACCCATCGTGAGGAATGCAGATGTAAGGTATCCCCTCAGGCCAGTGATTAGACCCCATCTCTTGGAGCTGAAGTCTAAGTACGGCCTCTGCACTCGATCGGTCACAGACAGGAATATCGCAAGACCAGCATAAAACACCGTCTCAAAGCAAAAAGAAGTAACAATTTCTGCATCAAGAAATTATAATAAGAGAGTGCATCAAAATGAGTATTGTATAAATAAGAGCCTCTTAGCTTTAGGAGAGCTATGAGATCTCTTGAACAAATCTCAAAGAAACTTGTTGGTTCTTTCTTAGGCTCAGCCGCTCAGGTCATGTGTTCTTGATTGTAATCAATAATTCAAGATCAATAAAAGGATTCTAATACTGCACATAAGAAAACAGGTACTAAGCCTATCAAAACCTCAAAGTTAGGTAGGCTTAAAGAGAAGCCAACACTAAAACATAATCAGATAGCAGATGTAACACCAATAAGATAGCTTCTATTTGTTCCTAGGATTCATATAATTCATAATCCGATGTTAAACATTAAAGCAGTAGTAAAACTTGACATACCAGCAACAGTGTCGTTTTTAAAAGTAGCTTCAATGGCACCACTAAGAAAGAACTGAGGAAGAATCAATGAAGAAATCAAGACAACAGGAGCCAAAACCCACAAGAAAGAACCTTTCTCTTCTTGAAATGGAGCTGAAACCAGTCTACTTTCTTCAACCAGCTGATGAGTCAGACCATTGAAAGAAACAGAACCTGATTTCCCACGGAACAGCTCAGCTCGAGCATAGTTACTCTTACCCGATTGCTTAGTCTCAGGCTTTGATTCAGAATTAGAAGAAGAACACACTACACGACCTCGGCTCAGTTGCGGTTTGTTCCAAAGGAGGGTTTCTTAATCAAGAATGAAAATAAGATAAAGGATCACTCTTTATACTACAATTTGGCTGAATTAAGAGAATTTAGATAGATACTTACGTCTGGAATCAAGTTTCTGACGCGTTGCAAATGTCGAAGAACCCTGGAGAAAATTGAAAAAAATCGGATAAGGTTTTAGAAGAATCGAAATGGGAAAAAAATGAAATTTTGATGGTTAAGTTCACTTACAGGAGGATGGGAGAGTAAATGTGGAGATGAAAATCCAAGTCTTGGAGGAAGAAACCCTAAGCAAATGGCTTTCGATTCCATTTTCGTTTAGGGTTTTTGTGTTCTTTCTTCTTCACACCAGCTTAAACCCAGTCCTTAAAACGAAATAGTGAAATACATCTCTTCATTGTTTTGTTTTGTTTTTTTTGTCGTCATTTTCGAACTTTCGGTTTTGATTAACCGAGTCAATTGGTCCGATTAGAACCAAACTTAACCAGTTATTTACGGTAAAATTAGAAAAAAGTATAGCAGAGCCAGGTTTCGATCCTGGACCTGTGGGTTATGGGCGTAAAACAAAAATTCTTTTTCACATTTTTGTTTTGGAATTTTTTAATTTTTTTAAATGACTTAAATTATCCTCATAATTTTTTTTTTTTGTGTGCAACTGATTGCATTTAGGATTTTTTTTTTCACTCAAATCCAAATTATTTTGTAGTTCAATTGTTTTTCCTGACTTAAATCCAAATTGCTTAATACGAAGAACTGACCAAAATAATTCATACAGTATATTTCTAAGGCAATTGTTTAAAAAGACGGTAAATTTTAATTTACTTTGGAAACAGAAGCGCTATTGGTTCTGATCTAGAAAGAGAAAGAAGAGGAGGCTCAGCTATGTAACCTTTGGGAAACTTTAGCATCATTCTACTACCCACCACATTTAGCGGTGGTAGCAGCCGTAAGTCCGGCCTTTTTTCATCATCGCCACCGTTTCTTTATCAAAATTAAAAAAAAAAAACCTTTACACTTATTTTAAAAAGTTGCAGATTCTGTCCATAGATCTCTTATCGTGAGAGAGATGAGAAAGCTAAACTGTTTGTTGAATAAAAAAAAGGTTTTTCGCTTCACAGATATTTCATTTTCAACAAACAGCTGAGTCTTGCTCATCACTTTCACGAAAAAACCTTTTCTATTCACGAAAAGCAGAGATTCAGAGAGACGACGGGACGATATTCTTCTTACACTGATTAAAGGCGAGAGACGTGAAAACCCTAATTTTCTTCAAGGGTCGTTTGCTGGGCTATATATGTTTCCTGGAATGGTCTATAAAGCCCACTTAATGGCCCATGAGAAAAAAGTAATATGACCCAACTTCAGAAAATTAAACAAATTACGAAAATTAATTTAAATTTTTATATTAAAAAAAAATATGTATGTTTTTTTATTATTATTAAGATGTTTTAAATTACATAAAAAAAAATTAATTTGTAAATCCTAAATCCAATCCTAGCAATAGTATATTTCGTTAATTTTAAAAGATTGAAAATTTTATTTTTAATTAATTTTTGTGCCAGAATTTTTCCCGTAATTATCCAAAAAAAAAGTGAGTGGATAATCATAAACCATCCACACTAACCGGTTTAATCACCAATTTGGTGGTTCGTCATCTTCTCTACAGTTTCTAGCCCTAGGATTCTTCTTCCTTTCTCCTTTCTCTGGCCAAAGTTGCGATTTTTGCTTCTCTCGGAGGCTAATCATGGACGCCGTGGCGGCGAATTTGGTTCAATCTTCAGTCCTACTACGTCAATCTTCCGAAAGTTCGATATTATTGACGCCCAACTCTCCTCGCTTCATGCGATTCGGCTCCGGACCTCAATTTCGTCTCAAAGTACGTCTTCATTCTACTGCTTTTGATTCACTCAACCCTAGACATCAATTTAGCTTTCCCGAATCATGTTTGTTTGTACTTAATCTACCCCATAATCGTGTGAAATTCGAGAATTCTGATTCTTTGTCAAAAAAAAAAAATGAAACTTTCTCATAAGTAGTCATTTGAATCTGTTGTATCTCTGTCTGCAGCACAAATCTTCTCTTAAATTCTCGAGACCATTGCAAAGCGGAACAACTTGTGCTAAATCTCGGAGAAGCTTTGTGGTTAAAGCTTCGGCTTCTGCTTCTGGTGATGCGTCAACCGATTCAATCGCGCCACTTCAGTTGAAGTCTCCGGTGGGGCAGTTTCTGTCACAGATTTTAGTGAGCCATCCTCATCTTGTTCCAGCAGCTGTTGAGCAGCAGCTTGAACAGCTTCAAATCGATCGAGACGCTGAGGAACAGAGCAAAGATGCATCCTCTGTTCCTGGAACAGACATTGTTCTCTACAGGTTTGTCACATACCGATATTATTACCCTTCCGATGCTATATAGGTTTGGATTGTGAATCAGATTGTTTCTTGGGGTTTTAGGAGAATTGCTGAAGTTAAGGAGAAAGAGAGAAGAAGGGCTTTGGAAGAGATTTTATATGCGTTAGTGGTTCAGAAGTTCATGGATGCTAATGTTTCACTTGTACCATCCATAAGCTCATCGTCTGCGGATCCATCTGGTCGAGTTGATACTTGGCCGACACTAGATGGGGAACTTGAGAGGCTTCATTCTCCCGAGGTTTATGAGATGATTCAGAATCATCTTTCCATCATTCTTAAGAACCGCACTGATGATCTGACAGCAGTTGCGCAGATAAGCAAGCTTGGAGTTGGACAGGTATATGCAGCTTCCGTGATGTATGGGTATTTCCTGAAGCGGATTGATCAAAGGTTTCAGCTTGAGAAGACGATGAGGATTCTCCCAGGTGGGTCATATGAAGGTGAGACTAGCATTGAACAAGCAGGTCGAGAGACAGAGAGAAGCTTCTACGAAGAAGCGGAAGAGACTTATCAGGCTGTTTCCTCAAACCAAGAGGTTGGTTCGTTTGTGGGAGGAATCAATGCGAGTGGTGGTTTTAGTAGTGATATGAAGCAATCCCGGTTAAAGACATACGTTATGTCCTTTGACGGGGAGACACTACAGAGATACGCTACAATAAGATCAAGAGAAGCGGTTGGGATAATTGAGAAGCATACAGAGGCATTGTTTGGGAGGCCAGAGATTGTGATAACACCACAAGGCACAATTGACTCTTCGAAGGACGAGCATATAAAGATCAGCTTCAAGGGATTGAAGAGGCTTGTGTTGGAGGCTGTGACGTTTGGGTCTTTCCTTTGGGACGTGGAGAGTCATGTAGATTCAAGGTATCACTTCGTACTGAACTGAAATGGTCTGTGTTTGGTGAGGATGTGCCAGATTCTTTGAGAGGGTTTGGGGATTTGTTCTTTGTAATATATATGCAACTGTGAACTGACCAACTAATATTTGTTGCCTTCTGAGAAATTGAGTTTTATCAATACCCATTTTAAGGTATTGATACGTTCGTGATGACTTTATGTGTGATTTTCGTTTCGTTTACCTTTCTGTGACTGCATTTTGCAAAACGAAGTTCATGATCAAGAAGAGGTTTGGTTGAGAAGCAACTTCAAGTGGGTTAACAAAGTTATGCGTCTGTACTCTGTGGATGATAATTCTCGACATGCAGACAAATTGAGGCTGTTCTTGAAATATAGATCAAAGATGCAGAAAGGAATGAATACTGACAATATACACATATAGTGTGCAACTGTGCAAGGCTGTTCACGATACTCATAGTTTCGTTCAGGTTCAGTAATAGTTGAATGTAAAAATGCAATAAAAAAAGCTTTACTAATATAATAATGGTTTTGAGGAACCAACTCCCTATACTCGTGAAATTTATTACTCTTCCTTGTATCTCTTCTCTGTTGCCTCCAAGCGTTCCAGGTCCTTGTTGTACTTACAGATGCGGTAGATGCACCTGTCAATGAATACAAGAGATATCAGTGAATAACACGAGACCTTGTCGGTGAGTGACTGATAATAGCTGATGAAGTTACCAGTAGAGAAGAATTCCTGCAGCGCACAGAACCACATTCCTCTGAGCCTTGTAGATCTGCAGTACACACAAGATGAGACATTTCAGGGCAAGAGAACAAACAATAGATGAACTAAATATCAGAGTTTTAATTTTCACTATGTGAAATTGATTCTGGCAACTTGCAACTGCATAACAAAAAGTAACTGCGAACCAAGAATCAGTTGCCAACAGATTCACAAGAACATTGTATAAACTTACTGAACCATGAATGCTATAAAGACAATCTCATGTTTGCTATTTGACAGTAGCTAGAGCTATGATTTAACGAGATATAAGTACATCAATGGGTGATCGAGACCTAAAAAAGATGCAATTGACACTAAGTAGTGAGGGAGACTATTCTATTGTTCAATCCTTGATACACTAATATCTAATCAATACAACATCCTTAAACAAGGAAAGCCAATTCTCAGATGTTTTCATTACAAATCTTGATCTTCAGACTAAAGATGAAATTTTTTTTAACCAGAATGAAACTCACAACCTAATAATTTACTATACAAAAAGATTCAAGAAACATAGAATTCAGCTATAGAAGAATCAAAGACTAAGGTGATAGAGTCAAAAAGGTACTTACAGATTTCTCGTAGCGATCACGTTCTGTAGCAGTGCATACCTCAGATGAACAAGATAGTCTATGCTCAGCTTTCCAGTAAATATCTGAATGAAATCAAAAAACACACAAAGGTACCAAAGCCACATAATCAATCACTCACGGCTCAAAACCCTAACTTAATTAACACCAATTCGATTCCGATTACGAAATAGAGAATTTAGATGAGAGATAGAGAGAGAGCGGAGGTTACCGAGGAGCTGAAATCCGGCGAAGGCGACGATGGAAGCAGCAGGTTGGAGAATCAACGAGACAAGTTGTACAACACGTTTCTTCAGAAGCATAGGGTAAGGAAGAGTCAACACGAGGGTGATTACTACTTCGGCGGCCACCACATACGTCAGAATCAGCCATTGCAACGCCATTGTTGTTCGTCTTCTTCTGGATCTCTCTTTCTTTGAGTCTCTCTCTCTCTCTTTCGTGTGAAGTAGACGAAGAATAATAATAGACGAACCGTACGCGTGGAACACGTGTCTTCGCTTTGGGCTTTTTTCTTACTAATTAAGTTATTTTATTTACTTGATGGCTCACCTCCAGCCCAATATCTCCATTTATCAGTTTAATTGCTGGAAGTCATAATTTTTCGGTTTAGTTTGGTTTAGCAGTTGGGTTTCTTCACTTCTTCTTCTTCACTTCGCCTTCTCTCTGCCATTGTTGACTCTCAAAGTCTCAATTTTTTTTCTTTCTTTCCATGTGACAGGCTTTGATCTCACTGAAAGCTAACACCATGGTTCCACCAGCTAAAAAATTCATCAACAACCCCAACGGTTCGTGATCCTTCGTATCCTTTTCCTTTTGTGTTTCGAACTCTATGTATCATTTGGTTGTTGCATGCTCTTACATATCAAATTTCAAGATTGAACGAACATAAGCTCTTTTACTCGTTACTGTGTGTATTGCAGATGTTGTAACTGAGTTCATCGAGGGTCTTGTCGAAACTTATCCTGGACTTCAGTATTTGGATGGTCTTCCTGAGGTGATAAGTTCTCAATTTCGCTTTGATTCTATTCCTTCCGTGGATGTGTGTAAAACCTCAGCTTATTCTGATTAATTTTACAGATCAAAGTTGTACTAAGAGCTGATGTCTCAGCTGCGAATTATGACAAGGTTGCTGTTATATCAGGTTTGGAGTTTTCTTGTCCAAACCTAAGTTATGTTTGATTGAGTTTGTTTTCGTGTTTATGCAATGCCGTTTTTGAAACAGGAGGAGGAAGTGGGCATGAACCAGCACAAGCTGGGTATGTTGGAGAAGGAATGCTCTCAGCTGCTATTTGTGGAGATGTTTTTGCTTCGCCACCTGTTGATTCCATCCTAGCTGTAAGTAACTCTTCTTCT